GCTGCCCAACCTGCAAACTGCTCCCCTTTCCATCGGCATCTTTCCTATTAATAATACGTGGGGGGGTGGGAATGGGAAATCTGTTGGGAATGTAGCAATAGGCACATTTTTCTTCATTTTAAAGAAAGGTCCCCTCTGCTCTTAAAGCAGGATTCAGTCACTTTGGGTTAGGTGGAGACTGTCATGCTTTGTGCTTATTTACTTTAGGGCAAGACTTCCTGTTATTGCCTCCGGGGAATGGAGATTTCTTCCCATCCGTTCCACCTCCTAGAGCAGCTAAATGAGCAGCGGAAGCAAGATTTGTTTTGTGACTGCAATATCCTGGTGGAGGGCAAGGTCTTCAAAGCCCATCGCAATGTGCTCTTCGCCAGCAGCGGCTACTTCCAAATGCTCCTTTCGCAGAGCTCCAAGGACACCAGCCAACCGACCACGGCCACTTTTGAGGTCTTCTCTCCAGAGACATTTATGGTTATTTTGGACTTTGTATACTCAGGCATATTGTCGTTAACTGGTCAAAATGTCATTGAAGTCATGTCAGCTGCTAGCTATCTGCAGATGACAGATATCCTTAATGTCTGTAAGACGTTCATTAAATCCTCCCTGGACATTAATGAGAAGGAAAAGGATCATTACCTTAGCCTTTCGGCCAAAGAAAGCCATGAACCTGCTCACCCAACTCCTTATCGGTCAAGAAGGAAAGCAAAGAGCCACCCAACACGCTGCCATTTAATCCCAGATGAAAAGGCAAGTATGGTGAATGAAAATTCCTGGAGTAATTACAACAACTATCTGTCCTCACAGATAAGTCTTCAACGGCCAGAAATGCAGCTATCAAAAAGAGGCCGAAAATTGGGCCCAGCAAGAAAGCGCCGAAAACATCTAGGACTGTCCCAGAGCCGTGATTTTGTGCAGTATAAATCAAACAGAAGTGAGCAGACTAGTGGAGGTTGTAATGCATCAGATTCTAGCCACAGCTCTCGGGCAAGAGGGGAGAATCAAATTGATGCTGAGAATGATGTTGATCATGATGATTATGGAGATAATCAAGAATCAGAAGTTATACCAAAGAGGTGGTCTGTTGCTCAGCTAGAACAAGAACTTTCAAGAAATTCTTCTGAGTTAATGGAATTAAAAGCAGATGAGCTGTATACGTCAATGCCCACAATTTTAGGTGTAATGAGTAGTTGGAATGAAGGTAAAAATAAGATACCGTTTTGGAAAGTTTTTCTTTGTCCAGGTGAAGTCAGCATTATCTTTTAGAGAGAATCCTGTATGGCTGTTCGGTATGAAAATCAAAATGATGCCTAGACCTGCAGATATTTTCTTGCTGTGCTTTATGGAATGAAAGACTTTGTGAAATCAAAATACAGCAGGAGAATTACAGTTGGAGAATGTGGCCCAGATCTTCAGGGGAGTTAAAACAATATACACCAGATTTTCTGGACCTAAGTGGAATTTGAGGCCTATAGAGCTGAAATTGGCTTGGGGATATGTCAGTATTTGCACTTAATCCACTGTTTTCTTTACAAGAGGTCATGTCCTCTTGTAAAGGCCGCTTAAGATCTTTAGACTGAAGCATTCTCCACTTCCCTTATGGTCCAAACAGTTCAATCTTTAAGACTTTTTGGCCACGCTGCATAAAGCATGAAAGAAGTCCCTGATGAACAGAGAGCATATGCCTATGATGGAATGGACAAGTATCTTCTTATAGACACTAACTTACTGTACCAGTATGTAATTATAATCACATAATTTTAAGACTTTAGAGACCCTAATATGCTACAAAAGATTTATAAAAATCTAAAATTGTTTCTTGATAAAAATGTGTATTACACCTCTATATTTACTGCCTTCAATGTGTCTAAAGAGGAAAAAAATACTATCAAATATCCCTTTAACATATTCTGTAAAGAATATTGGCTGCTGGAGAAGGATAGGGAGAAACATTTTGGGTTGCATTTTGGATTTTCTCCTGTTTAGTGACAGGGCAGAAGACAAAAAATACTACCTATATAAGCTTAAAAATACTCAAGTAATGAATCACAGAATATAAACAAAGATGGTTAATTATTGACATATTACATTGTTTTTCTCTGAAACAGATGATCTTCCTCGAATGCGATTCAAGTGCCCCTTCTGCACTCACACAGTGAAACGGAGGGCAGACCTGAAGCGTCATCTCCGGTGTCACACAGGGGAGCGACCATATCCATGTGAAGCGTGTGGGAAAAGATTCACCCGACTAGAGCATTTACGTAACCACTTCCAAACAGTATGTCACTTAAATCAGACAGTATGTCACTTAAATCAGAGAGTCAGCTTAAGGGAAAATGGACAGACTCCATTTGTAACAGCTGTTAAGTCATTTCTAGAACCAGTACGAGAAAAGCTTCCTAGCTGTAGCCTTAAATTATTTCATCTGAAATTTTAAATAATTACAGAATTAAATTTAAAGTTTGGGCTGGAGTTCATGGAATATATAAATGTGAAACTTACCTATGCTGTTCACCAAATATTTACTGCCTTTTTTTTGGTTCTTTTGCTGCTTGTTGTTTTTGCTCCATAAATTCAGTGCACCAGTCTGCTAATCTCCAGGTAACAGAACAATTACAACATAGAAAAGAAATATTTCTTATAGATGTTGCTTTTATCGAATAACTGTTTTTTTTTCACCCTGTTGAATAGTCATGAGTTTTGTGTTTTTGTTTTGAATAACAATAACCACTTTTGGATGAGCATTGACATTTTCCACTTTGAAATCTCTTCAGATACATCAGGCTGGCAAGCTCATCTGCAGGAAGTGCAAACGTCACGTAACCGACCTCACGGGCTGCGTGGTTCAGCAAGGAACAAGGCGCTACAGACTGTGCCACGAGTGCCTGGCAGAAGCCAGCTCTGACAGCATCCCTGAGGACGTGGACACAGAGCATTCCCTCGTCCCCTCTCCAGGGAACAAACATTCCCACTGCGCTTTGGAGGAAGAGCAGAAATCAGATGAAGAGACAGTGGGGGAGGAACCGTATAATTTGGTTATCCAGCGTGTTGATGATGATATTTCAGATGAGGCAGATGACAAAGGGAAACCAAATCTTAGGTAGATAGATTTCTATTATTATTTCTACTATATTCAAAATTACTTGTGTCTTGCCATTTAGCACTGGTTTATTAGTTTCATTAGTAAAACTTTAGGGATATTTGACTCCCTAAAAAGCAAAATAAGTGCTACCAAAACACACTTTTCTATTTACAGGCATGCAAGAGTAACTAATTCTGGATAGTGACTTAAAATTACTTAGTAGTCAAAAACTATTTAGAAGAATTATTTTCTATTTAATCAAGTACTTATTTGGAGTATCTATTCATAATAGAAGTGTAAAAACTATTTTACAGTTCTGCAGTAGACATTATATACTACATAATGAAAAATCTGCTATAACTTGCTCTTAAAAAGTCCAACATTATCAGCTAAGAAATGCAATCTAAATTTTTGTAGACACTGTAATTAACATGTAAATACACTTAGGAAACTTCACAAGAGTTCAAACAAACCCAACAAAAACATTTCCAGCTGACTGATCTATTTACTAAAGCTATCTTTTTCTTGAGTGAACTTACTGCTTCTTGTAGTTCAGAGAAAGCATGAATAGTTTAAAAGAATACACAGAGCCAGACAGGGCGGAATAGTGGAGCAAGCTGCATGACTTTGCCTCTTCAGATATACAGTGTTTTTGTACTGTGAATTTTAAACAAAATTACCCTAACATGGTTCCAAGAAAATAAAAGTGCACTTACTGCAAGTATGATTAACATTTTTCCCCCCCTATTTTTTTTCCAGGGCTCCATTGCTTATATTCTTATCTATCTTACAGAAAGATAATAAATCTGGACAATTCCCTTTTATTTCAGTGGGACATTTGTAACTTGGATCTTGTACCTACTTCGGGAAATCTTTCCAGCTTTCATAAATTTAGAAAGCTCAGAGACTGCTGGGCAGTCAGTAGAAAAACCTGTATTTAAATACACTTTCTCTTGTAATTTAAACCACCTTTGTTATTCTGAAGGGTTTTTGTTTTGGACTCCTAGAAAGTACCCTGATACCTGTAATTTCTTCAGCTTTGGAAATGAAACAGGGAGACTGTGAAGCCTATTTTACAGTAAGTATTTAATAAATATAGAACTCACTTATTGGAGTCCAGAAGTCTTACCACATTCCAGTTACCAGTTCTGTAGTGTTAAGCGGTTTTCTGGTGTCAGTGCAGCCTGTGACTGATGGTATGCACGGGGCACTTCAGCAGATCATGAAAACTAGGATTTAGCAACATAATTTAGTGTTTTTCTCCTCTCTTTCTAGGCAGAGAGCTGGGCTAATGCAGAACTCCGGCTGCCTTCCCACTCCCCACACAGCTGCGGCTGCCTCAGGCAGGGCTGAGTAAAGCGGCCTCAACTCGAAGCCCGATTGGCTCATCCCGGTCAGCTGACCCAGCCAGCCAATGAGGTGGCGCGGCCGCTGCTGAGGCAGGGGAGCGCGTGGCGCGTCGCCCGCGGCTCCCAGTCGCTTCTGGGGGCGAAAGGGTGAGGAGGGACAGGCTGAAAAACTGTTTATTTACAATAAATCTAAGGGTTTATTTAGAGCAAACTTAACAGGCAGGCCCTGGCCCCACTTCTCCACAGCAGCCCCACTGTGGCTGGCATAATCCCACAGATAGGGTGCAGGGGCTGGAGCCCTGAGGCTCCCTCTGAGGGAAAGAAATTCCTAGTCGTGCAAGTCAATTTAGGTACTACTGCAACAAGCGTATCTTAATCATTAGGTATACAAAACTCTGCTCACCTTGCCAGAGAAGAGAGTGCAAATCTTAAATTTATTATCCTCAAAAAGCCATTCATACAAGTTGTATCCATAATTCTTAGGTCCTGTTTTATTTCGCCATTAAGATGTTTTATAATAAAATTATTTTATCTGTCATCTTTACAAAAATGAAATAAACCCCTAGTCTTTCTCTATTTAAGGGATTTTTTAGAACAAAATAAAAATGAAAAGTTTAAATGCAACATTTACCAGAAAAAAATAAAACGTCAGGTCAGGCCTGCCCTTGTATCTACTGCATCTGTCTCTCACTTGAGAGAACGGCAGACACTACCTTTTAGTTGTCCCATGATATAAAATAAAACACACATTTTTCAATTATTATTCTTGATTTACTGCATAAGAGTTCAAAATTTTCTGACACTAAAGAAGCTTTTTTTTTTGGCCGGTTTCACCACTTTGTAGTATAATGAAGTCCAGTAAAAAACATAAAATCTTCTCAGCAGTAAAAGCTGGAATAATCCCAAATTACAGAAATAAGCCTCACCACACCATCCTCCCTCATGTCTGAGGAGAAACTCCACATTGCCTCCTTTTTAGAGTGGTAATTAGCACTACTAAGGATTCCATCACATACTTTAGCATTTCACTTGGAAACTAATGGCAATTCAGCACCACCTGGTGGCACCACCTTTTTTCTTTCATTACTCTAGAAGGTGTTTTTTCCAAAGACCAGTTTACTTTCTTTGGCATTCTTCAAGTAATTAGAAACTTGTCCACATTACATCTGAATCACTGCAGGTATTTTGGAGCCTTCAAGTAATATGGAGGGACATCACCTCAGCATTAGAATACGTAAATCTGCAAATAAATCATGCAGATTTAAGAGTAGTTATCCCCTGCAATCCTACAAAAAGGAAGCATATTAATTACTCGTTTCACTAATCTATCTAATTCATATACCACTTAACACATCAGTTTTAGAAGTTAAAATAACAGCTTTCCTGAGAGATTTTTAATCCCTTACAACTCCCTACCCCCCATCAAAAAATCCCAAATAAAAAACAAGTTCTTTTTTTTCCCCCCTGGCATACAGGTCTTGTTCCGGCTCACAATCCTCAAGTCAAAGCACAGACGTACATTCCCTGCAATGTACATTCCTCTTCAACTTATGATTTCAACTGGCCAATTCCTTAGTAACTTCAAATAGTACCTTCTGCCAGCCCATGATATGTGTCCTGTCATTTCATTACTCTTTTCTTTAAATATCAATGATGACAAAGACTTCTGGCTTCTCTTCTTCACAGATTTGCATTGCTGAATAAGTTATGGCTTTGACTTCTGTACCCTAGAGAGAAAAGAGAAAAAAAAACACGGATTTTCTGAAAGGGGATAGCTTGCAGCAGTTTGTCATGCCAATTCACAGTATTTACCAATTTCTGCAAATGCTATCCAGATTAAGAGATTTTACCTCCTCAAAAGCTGAACTATATTTTTTTCTGGTGAATATAAAAGTTAGTATATTGATAAGAATAACTCGTTCAGACCAAATACTGAACGAAGAGTTCTTCCCTTCTGGCACAAATTTCTCCTCTCTGACAGAAGATCAGCATTGCTATTCTCATGCTGACAGAGCTAAAGAACAAGCTGGGAGATAAGCACTGCCTGTTAGTAATCTTTAGAAAATAAATTTGCGAAAAAAAGACTAACAAAAAGCTCTGATAACAGTGTAAGAATCAAACTCATGCAAATATATTGAATATATATTGTTTACTGTGCTGTTAGCATCACAAAAAAAGGAAGACAGCTATTCAGTAGTATTAGGTAAGTAATGCATACCTAAGTACTACTTAAGTGTTAAGTATTACCACTTAAGTATTAAGTATTACCAAAGTATTACATACCTGTGGGTGTTTAGGCAAAGAGAACTCTTCTCCCCACCTTTAATAACAATAAGAAAACAGGTGGTTGGAATTTTGGTTACTTTTAATCAAATGTTATAACTAGTTTCCTTAACAAACATTGGACAGTGGCACTTTCATTTAAAGCCTCAAAGTAAGAAAAAAAGGTCCATAATCCACTTTTCTAAAAAGCATCAGTGAATTTCAGGTCATTACAGAATTCCAGAATCCAGGAAAGCCATATGTGACCCTCCCAAAATGTTAAGCGTTTTCAGTAAAGATATTAAGTACTCAATTGACCCTTTAAGCTCACCCGATTGATCTTATTTTGAATTGCATTCGGTCAATATGAAGCACTTTCACCTCCTGCAGACAAAATAAGAGGAAAAACATGTCAGTAAAGCCTTCTATCTTCCGTCTGAAGAAATCTCAGCAAATCCCCATTTGCAAGGCTTGCATTTTCACTGTTGTAAATGAAATCTGAAACCGGACAATCTTAGCAACCTCAAAGAGACACACTAATACTGGGAAATTAAAGACAACGGAGCTGTCTCTGTCATATAATGGCACCTAATGCTCAGTGTTTGTGATAACAAAGATAATAATTTATTTCTCAGGTCTTTCTACTCTGGTATTCTCCATGCATTAAGTAATTTGTTGTAGCTTTCCTCCCCCCCACCCCCGAAGCAGGCGGCAGTAGGTGTCAGAGCCTCATCCTACAAATAAGGTGAAAAGAACACTTACCCTGGGTATAAAGAACTCATTAGCACTGAATTTATAGAGCCATTCATCCAAGAAGTGAAAGAGAAGAGAAAGCATATCGTGTCCTGCGGGGTTGAGGAAGAGAGTCAGGCCCCAGGAAAAACACCAAAATATCTTTTAAAAATATATAAGAAGGTCAGGTTCTCCACTAAAAGAAGTTGTAATCAGGCTTTAATTAACTGTAGCAAAATTGCTTCTGATGATTTAAAGGATTTTGGTACCCTTCTCTCCCAACTGTTCATATAGTTCCAACATAAAGTCACTCTTTATAAATAAAGTCAATCATAAAGTCAATCTTACCTTCTGCATGTACTTCTACAGTATCCAAAGGTTCTACAGTCTCTGTATCGGTCATGTAGCCAAACATGGCCATAACACACTGCTCAAATGCTTCCTCCAGGGTATCTCCCCAGGCATGCAGCCTAAAAAGACACAGGATAATTCACAGAATGATAAAAACGACAACAAATTAAGTTTTATACAAGTGAGATAGCTTAACATGAAAATAAATGCAAAATGAACGAACAAAAAATCTGTCTCTCTATACTATTGCATTTGGGACAAAGATTACATATATTCTTGTAGTATGTGAGAAGGAAATTTCTTTTGGGCAGAAAATAGAACATTTTTTTATCTAATAACATGGATGTTTTTTCTTGCTATGTCTAAAAAGCAGACTATTTGAAATCAATTTGGTTCTAAGGCAAGAAGATTAAAAGAGCCCCCTTTTGAAAGACATTTTCAAATACTATAGTAATATAATTAAAAAAAAAAAAAACAAGCACCAAATGATCGTTAGAGGAGAAGCTCAACTACACAATGCTTCTGTGCTCTCTGAATAACAGAAAGAAAACAGACCACAAAAACAAAAACACAGCACGAGTATGGCATTTCATAGTTGCATAAAGTATAAATCTGAAAGTAGTCTTCTACAATCAATTTATTATACCGTGAAATCCCAGCTGCCCATACTTACTGCACATCTGCTGTGTGATCCAGATCTGAGGGTGAAGGAAAAAAGAAAAGAGACAAAATTACCATATATATTTTTTAAAATGAGGATTTTTTTTCAAATAAAAAAAAAACCCCTACATGTTATAACAGATAATGTTATAGATTAACTTTTGGTATTCATCTTGACACGTCAAATCTTTATTTTCCAGTATATTAGAAAAAGTTAGCACAACTGAAATCTTATTTCTGCCAAGCTTGATAGAAGAGAAAGTGTTTAAATTGCATCAGTGCCCTGTGTGTAGGGCACTACGTACAACATATGGCACTTGAAAGATAACAGGGTTCTGCAGGTTAATGGCAATAGAAAAAAATTAATGAGGGGTAAAGGACTTTTGCTGAAGTCTGCAGGACTGAAAATTAGTCATACAGAAGATAAGATTTGCAAATGTTCGCAGCCCAAAGAACAAATATACCTGTCCACACCCCAGACATCCATTATGCAAAAAAACATAACTAGAAATATATAAAGTATACAGTGATCCTCATTAACAAAGTAGGATTAACCTCCCCAATACATATCAGGTTTTATATGATTATCGTTCACTTTCACATAGATGAGGGACAGAAGTGTATAATAATGTCAGGTTGGTAGATACAGAGCTAATTTGGGAGGAAGAAGCAATGCTGTATCACAATCACTCCAGCTGAAACACTGCTCTGATGCTGCTTAGGTCACCCACACACTATTTATTAATGGTTCTCAACAACTGTCTCTAAAGCAAACAAATTCCAGTGGATTTAAAAGGAGAATAAAACCTCTTCTGATCATGGAAGAAGTGTGGCTACTGTAATATGTCGCTATTTCTGCATTGCTATCAAATAAAGATCTAAAAATATATGTTTTAGCAGGGTAACATACTGCAACCCTCCAGATAAACAGTGCTCAAACAGAAAGGCAGCCAAGCACCGCATGGCCTGTGAGTGCCCCGAGCTACTCCTCGGGCTGACACCCACTTGCTTTAGATGTTCTTAGAAGCCATTCCAGGGGTGGGGAAAGGCAGCGATAATGATCTTTAGCAGCACATTTGGGGAGAAGGGGTGTGGGGGGAAAAAACAACCACTCCAAAGACGACTCACTCTTTTGAGTATTTCTTCATGGAAGAGGCAGAAAAACGTCCTGCCTAACTAGGAAACGGCTTGCAAAGGGAGCTTTAACTTTCAAGCTAAAGCTAAAGGGGAAAAGAGTTGTAACTTTCAAGCTAAAACTCTTTAACTATTTTATTCATATCACGATTTCTCTAGCATCCTGACAGACAAAGCATTTATCTGCCGTAAATAAAATTGCAGATATCTCTGCAATTCAGCTTCAGATACACGCCACAACCCTCATACAGGATACGGACATACTAATGAGCCCCACACGTGCCTAAATACCCCTATCCTGCTCATTTCCTTCCTGCCCTGCTCCCTCCTCCTGGCTTATGCTGCTGCTCACAAGCTCTGCCTGGGTAAGCTCGGAAATACTCACACTCGTACTTCTTCTTTACTGGTGGATATTTGGCTTTGATGGCCTTCTGCTCCTCCGTCAGGTTGTAGTCCCTCTCATCGCCTGCCATAGCGGCCGGGCTCCAAAAACACTCACACACTTCCTGGTCTCCGGAAAAATGGCCACCTTCCTGCACGCTCCGGTCTCGCCAGGCTTCCCGTGTGATGCTAGGAATAAAAGGGAAGATTTCCTTGTAGTTCAGTCTCCTTCACTCGGTACCAGGTTTGTAACAGCGGTACACACACTTATATTTTAGGAATAAGAGTTTAAATGCATGTCTTTGAGTTGTTTGCTGTTAAAACTGTCACAGGGAGCTGGGTTTAGAGCTCAATGATTGGTAAGTTCAGTCAGTGAAGTCAGAGATTTACGGTCCTTAGGTAAAGGGCATGCTGAGGTCCCCTCAAGGATCTTCAGGATTCCTTGCAGCAGGAATCATGTTTCATCCTCTCTGTTGCATACAACACTACACATCTGATTCATTCTCAAGTAATAAACTATTTCAATAATGAAAAATAATCAAACAGCAATGAAATGGATTAAGCCGTCAAGCTTCAGATAATTTCTGCTCCTGCTATATTTTATAGTGGAGTATCCTCAACCCACTAATGTTTTACACCACAGTCTGAAATATCCATTGCCTCCAAATCACAAGATGTGACAGGAGGAAAGATCTGTAGTCCTCAAAAAAACTTAGTTACTTCTTAGGACAGAGATTGCAATTCTGATAAATATGACTATCATATAAGCACGTAAGTTTTTCTATACTCATTTATTTGCAGATTTTTTTTCATTGTTAAGCAAGAAATTATGACAAATCTTTGCTGAAAATTTCAGACCAGATCCTGAGTTTCATACAAGTTTTTCATTTGTAAATCTAACAGACACAAGTGTCATCAGCTCATCCACTGCAGGCCCATTGATTTTCTTCAGACCTCTGCAAGTTCTCACACAACGTGGTCATTCCTGCTCCCTCTTAATATTTGCTTTTTTTGTGTAAGATTTATTCAGTTTCCTCCAATAAGGGGCATAAGAGACTTACAGATGACAACTAGCACCACCAAGTTTCACAATTTTTCAGCAAAAGGGTGAACTCATGCTGCTTATGGCTAGCTCTAGATATGATGTGCTGCAGGACCTCCCAGCTTCCATTTTCCAAGCAGCACCAAGGCCTTTACAGAGCACAGAAGAGCGTGAGGCCGGTGCTGCTCAAAGTGGTAAAACCAGGTGAGCAAAAATCTGGATTTTAAACCTGTTCCTTGCTGCTTGCCAGTCAGATGCACAGCTGATCACGCCAGGTTATCCACAGCCAAACAGGCTTGGCTTATACACCGGTCCAGTTGTCCGTACTGCCCATCTCTGCAGTTATGTGAGAAAAAAAGAAAATTATTAGTAATTATTAGCAACTAATGAACCACAAAGTGGCCATGGGATGCTCTGGAAGCTACTGGGCCACCCTAAGAGGAGGAAGGGCTGGGCCAGGCCGAGCCTCACTCCCCATCACACCTGGAGGCCTGAGGCCATACGTACCAGGCCAGGACTTTACAGAACCGGGCCAAGGCCTCGCCTAGGGGCCGCCTGGGCCCAGACGGCGGCAGGAGGCGTTCGAGAAGGGGCCACTGCGGCGCGAGCGCTGTCCCTTTAAGGGCCGAGCGAGGGGCGCGCCGCTCCCTCCCCTTCCCTTTCCCTCCGGAAAATGGCGGCTCCCAAGGGAGCTTCAGCGGCACCTTCCTCCTCCCCCCCCCGCTTCCGCCTTCTCCCTCGCTTCCCCTCCCACGTGACCGCCGCGCGCGCTCGCCCTCCCCTTGTCCCCGCCCCGCGCCGCGCGCCCATTGGCTGCCGCCCCCCGGCGGCGAGCGGCGATTGGCCGCCGTTGGCGCGCGAAGGGGCTGCGCGGCGCCGGAGC